GATAAAACACCTGTTTTTAAACCACCACCCCCCCAAAACAAGACAAGCTGGGTGGTGGTGGTGCATGCCTTTAGTCCCAGCACTGGTAAAGTAGAGACAGGCAGATCTCTTTAAGTTCGAGGCCAGCCTGGCATACAAAGCTACACAGGGTTTTCCGAAACCCTGTCTCAGAAAAAAACAACAACAAATAATAGTAATAATAATAATAATAATAATAATAATAATATGAAGAAGAATAAAAAGGTTATTAAGACAAAAGATAGACTACATCTCTGGGCTTTGAGGCATCTGTGCAGACTCTATATTGCAGAGGGTCTGCTGGAAGAGAACTTCAAAGTATTTTAAACAAGAGGCCTGTGGCGCACAGTGCAGAGACATTAAAGATTGTATGCATTATTTTCCAAATTGGCATGCTATTAATTAAATAAAGACATTTCTTGAGGTTGAGGCCTCCCAGTAAGAGAACTGGAGTCTGAGACTATACCAGGATTATGCTAAACATTTAACTGAGTAATTGGAAAGAAAAGAAGCTTGATTGTAGCTAGCAGTACTGTGTGCATATTGAGATGAGAATAAAACATCAAGTTTCTTTTTATTATTCCACGACTTTAATGATACAAAAAAATGCCAAGATTCTCCTGTGCCTCAGACAAACTACTAGAATATTTTAAAGTATTAGCTTTTAGGAAATACTAGATGTTCTTTTTTTTGGGGGGGTGGGGTTGATGCAGGGTTTCTGTGGCTTTGGAGGCTGTCCTGGAACTAATTCTCGTAGACCAGGCTGGTCTCGAACTCACATAGATCCACCTGCTTCTGCCTCCTGAGTGCTGGGATTAAAGGCATGCACCACCACCCAGCTCCAGCTAGTCTTAATAACCTTTATTCAATGTAACTTCTGAGTGCAAATTTGCTAAATGTTTACATATTTTTAAACACTTAAAAAAAGAACTAGGGGGGCTAGAGAGATGGCTCAGTGGTTAAGAGCACTGCTTGTTCTTCCAAAGGTCCTGAGTTCAATTCCCAGCAACTACATGATGGCTCACAACCATCTGTAATGAGATCTGGTGCCCTCCTCTGGTCTGCAGGCAACATGCAGGCAGAACACTATACATATAATAAAATAAATAAATCTTTTTTTTTTTTTTTTGATGATTAACAAAACCAAAGTTTATTGAGACTAATGTCCATGCGTGTATAAATTCACTGCTTTAAAGGCTGGTACAATGCTTGCTTGCAAGAACATCAGTTTCCTACAGCACTTAACATTTCTCTACCAAACTTGGAAAATGGGCCACAGACATGGTCTAAGTAACATGGGTGGAACAACTAGAGAAGGTCCTCAGTTGTAAGGGAGAGACACTAAATGCTAAGCAGTACTCTTCAAAAGCGGCATACCATTTTTACTTGGTGGTAATTTGGCTTTCTTTGTAGGTAAGAAAAAAATTGGAAAAAGGCTTGTTTAATATAGAAAAAGAAAAGCCTGGTAAGGTTAATTTATTAAGAATTCCCTCCCTGCCCATAATTTCCTTGCAATATTTAACATCTATCAAAAGTACATTGGGGGTATAGCTCTGTGGTATTATGTGTACACATAATAAAATAAATAAATCTTAGAAAAAAAAAAGAAAGAAAAAAAACAACTAGGGAAAAAAAATAACCTGCATTGGAAAACAAGTTTATAGACAAGTGCAATAAAACTTTCTACAGCTTATGAGCATCTCTAATCTAAAAATATGAAATCTGAAATGCTGAAAAGTTTTCAGTGCCAACAAGTTTAAAAAAATTCAGAATTTTGGACAAATCTGAATTTCAAATGTCCTATTTTTCAATATGGCCAAACGGAGCAAGGCCTGCTTAAAACTTTATAGGAGCTGGAGAGACAGCTCAGCAGTTAGGAGCACTGGCTGTTCTTCCCAGGTCGCAAGTTCAACTCTCAGCAACCATATGGTGGTCGGGTACCTGAAACCTTCTTCTAGTGTACAAGTGTACACATGAGACAAAGCACTCATCTACATACGATACATAAATGAAAAAAAACCCTCAAAAAAAAAAGACTTCAAATCTGTAACCTTTCTATGTCCTCAAGGCTGGCCTCAAACTCATGTCAGTCTTCTTACTTCAGCCTCCCAAGTGCTAGGAGTATAGGTATGTGCACCATGTCTGGCACAAAGCACGTACTTAAAATGATTTCTTACCCATCACTTTCAGTAATGTAGACCACAGGTACTCGATTCTCCCCTTCTATGCCCAGCTCTTGCTGCAAAGTCTCCAGATTCCGCTCAAAGGTGTCTACACTGCCAATATTAAACCAGACATATTGCTACAAAAACAGAAAAACAAATATCCTTAGAATGAAGAACAAACAAAACTCCAAATTTTCTAAAGCATTTAACCCATTAAGAATTTTGCAGGCTTCCATCCCTTTCCGCTGACCGACCCACGAACGAGAGCCCTCATCCAGTGGCTGATGGAAGCAGAGACAGACATCCACAGATATACACCGAGCTGAAATCGGGAATTTAGTTGAAGAGAGGGAGGAATGAAGAGCGAAGGGGTCTGTACCAGGTTGGAGAAACCCACAGGAACAGTTGGCCTGAACAAGGGAGAGCACATCGACCCCAGATGCTGTCAGGGAGGTTAGTACAAGACTGATCCAGACCCCTCAACAAAGCTGTCCTTAGATAGAACCACAGGAGAGTACTAACAGGTGAAAACTGACAGGGAAGAGTGATCTCCAACAAGTGGATGCCTAGTAAGCCTAGAAAATGGGTCGGGAGCAGCCTGGTGAAATTCTGACCCTAGCAGGATTGCAGATACTCAGGATTGGGAGTCTATAGAGGTGGGATCAGAGCTGGGAGGGGTTGCCATCACCTGGGAGCCTCCCGTCCCCCTTCACAATGTCCCCTGTGCATCCAACACTTCTGCTGGGTCTCTAGATAAGAGTCCAAACTAGGTTGACCAGAAACAAATTATTATTATTTTAAAATCAGCAAAGCCAGGTGTAATGGTTTATGCCTGTATAGGGGCTGAAGCATGAGTTTGAAGGCAGCCTGGGTTACAGAGTTAGACCCCATTTCAAAAATAAACAAAAGCTAGGGGAACAGATGGATATCACAAGAAGGTTGAAGACAAATGAGCAGAAAGAATCCTAAACTGATTTGAAAGGTGCTACCTCAAAACACATGGGATTCACATTTTAACATTTTCCCCAACCAAACAAATGTCTTCAAGAATCATAGCTGAAAACTAAGCTCTTCTTCTGTGTCCTAGGTATAAAACTAAAATGATTACCCAAACCAACTCAACACTGAAGACTCTCTATGCATCAGCACAAGCACATGCCAGCTGTAGCACACCTGTGGCACACCAGACCCCATTGTCCCCAATGTACATATCTAATGCAATGCAAGGGAGGTTTTCTTGTCAGTTCTAAACCCGAAAAAGGTTAATTTACTACTAACTCACATCAATTCATAAAATTATTTACCCCATCAACCGGAGTTTTTCCTGGTGTGAAAGTCACACGAACAAAACGCTTGTTGACAACCTCTAGTCTATCCACCTAGAATGTTTGAAAAAAAGGCAAATATTAAACATACAAGTTCACAGAAAATAAAAATATTCTCAATTTTTAGCAAGGTCCAGGTCATGTTTGAGACCCTGTATCAAAATAAGGTGGAAGGGTTGAGAAGTAGACGGAGAGATGGCTCAGTGGTGCAGAACACTTGCTGCTTTTACATAGGATCTGAATCCTATTCCCAGAATCCACACAGTGGATGGCAACCATCTGGAACCCTAGTCCCAGGGCATGTGACAACTCTTCTGACTTTTGTGGGCACCAGGTACATACATAGTGCACATATTAAAAGCAGAAACTCATAAATACGCATAAAAATAGCTGGGCAGTGGTGGCACACGCCTTTAATTCCAGCACCTGGGAGGCAGAGACAGGTAGATCTCTGTGAGTTTGAGGCCAGCCTGGTCTACAAAGCAAGTTCCAGAACAGCCAGGGCTACACAGAGAAATCCTGCCTCGAGAAAAATCATAAATAAATAAATAATTGTAAATTTATTAAAACTATCAGTATGCAAAGAAACTTTCTGATGGACAAGTGTGGCTAGCTAGGTGAGTGTTGACCACTTTGTGGTCTAACTTAACTGCACTTCACCTTGAGAACTGTGACGCCCCACCCCCACATTACTTACCACTCCTTTAGAAAGATAGTTATTTACAAAGTCTTTCCATGTGATTTCTCTCCCAGAACTTTTGAACAGGAAGTAAATCATGACTCCACCCCAAAAGAAAGCAGTCCAGAGAAAGTACAATCTGAAATCCTTGTCATCCCATGGAAAGTCACCCTAGATAGAGAGGGACACAGTTTCTGTAAGGAAATATGATCTGTACTATATGGGCTTTCTTTGGGGCCACCAACCCAATATCAAAAGTCAACAGTTTGAAATCAAACCTTCTGGAACCTGGACCACCAGTGAGAGTCTTCTTTCTTGCCACGACGCTTCCCTCCCCCACCACCTGCACCTCCAGAAGACCGTGGGGCCGCTGGCTGTGAGTCTGTCATAAACAAGAGCAGCATGACCAGCATGTACCACAGCACACTGTCAGCAAGGTGAGCACATATCCACAGGGGACTGGGGATCTAAGGACACACTGACTGGCAGACCATCAGTTACTGCATAAACTCCATGAGGAAAAACATTAATACAAAGTGGCAACAGCTAAGCAAACCAAAACACCTGTCTGCAAAGAGCTCAGGAAATACACAGAGTAACCCCAACCCCAGAAGATTGCCACTATTACATCCATTTTAGGAGGAAACCTCTGAGCTTAAGTAACTTGTTGGGTAATTTGTTGTCATATGACACAAGTGAACAAAGAGGGGCGGCTTTAAATCCAAGCCAGCACATTCAGTCCTCATCAAAGTTAAAAGTATGCACAGGGCTGGGGAGTGTCACTCAGGTGGCAATGTTCACCAACACGCACAAAACCAAGGGTTCAGTCCCCAGCGCCACATAAACCAGGTGTGGTGGCCTCAGAACTTGAGGTGCCCTGTTTGTCACTTAAGTCCTCCTCCCCACAGATCTGACTCTTTGTAAAGGCAAATGAATCAATGCAGCCACTGACATGTCCCTTTCTTCTGTCACTTTGCAATCTTCCCAATGACCTACAAGTACCATTCTAATGTCAATGAAACAACCTCTTTCATAGAGCAGGAGGTAAGGTCATGGGTGCCTGTCACCCTCAGTGGCTTCATGCCACACTCACTAAATTATTGCCTGCACAGAGGCAGAGATAGCATTTACTAGCTCAGGCTACCCAACAAGGCATAGCATTGAGAGACAGAGTTGGCACAATACAAGTTGGGTGCCAATATTCTAAACTACTCTGAGACAAGGTAACATCCAAAGGGCTGAATTTATAATGTAGATCTCATCACTGGTAAGCCTGCCAACTACTGGACTTTGGTAAATCCCACAGTGCTGCTCATGGAACTAACACTGCAACCCAGAGCCTTGAGTCTGGGTGTGTTTGGTGCATTTAAAAACAAGGGCTGGCCTGGGGATGTCACTCAACAGTAGATCTGCTTAGCGTAGGTGAGGACCTGGGTTCAATGCCCATCCCACCAATAACAAAAGACCAATGGTCCGACTTACATTTTTGCTTACATTTCTCTAAGAGGGACGCCAACTGGATGCTAATAGGTGTCAAACATTGACATTATTGTGCTAAATGACACAATAATTATGAAATGGGGGCAGAAGACTTGGTGGCACAAGATATGCCCACCTGCCCTGCCTTAAAAAACCCTCTCTAGGCTGGGAAGGAGTGACGTTCACCTTTAATCCCAGTACTCGGGAAGCAGAGGTAAGCAGATATCTGTAAGTTCAAGACCAGCCTGGTCTACAGAGCAAATTCGAGGATAGCCAGGGCTACACAGAAGAAACCCTGTCTCGGAAGGAAGGAAGGAAGGAAGGAAGGAAGGGAGGGAGGGAGGGAGGGAGTTTAATTTCAAAATCTAGGAACAGTGCACTATGGGACTATAGACATGGCTCAATGGTTAAAGAGTACTTCCTACTCTTCCAGAGGACCCAAGTCAGTTCCATGTCACCCCCATCAGGCAGCTCACAACTACCTGTAACCCCAACACTGGGGGTTCTGCCATCTTCTGAACTCCACAGGCAAATACACATCACCTGTACACACACACAAAATTTAAAATAAAGCTGGGCAATGGTGGCACACGCCTTTAGTCCCAGCACTTGGGAGACAAAGGCAGGCGGATCTCTGTGAGTTCAAGACCAGCCTCATCTACAAGAGCTAGTTCCAGGACAGGCTCCAAAGCTACACAGAGAAACCATATCTCAAAAAACAAACAAAACAAAAATTTAAAATAAATCTTCAAGAAATAAAACAGCTGTACTTTCCTAAAATAAATGTCAAATAAACTGCGTATGTTAGGTTTCTAAGACTTTTCTCAATAACTTAAATTATGTGTCAATGTCTCTTTCTTCCTCTCTTATCTCTCTCTCTCCGCCTTCCCCCCATAAACTCCCCACATAAAATAAATAAATAGATAGGTAAATTATGTGTCAAACTTTTAGTTTGATCAGTCAATATCTCCCCAAGGTGACTTTGAACTACTTCAGTGTGTAAAATGGCAGGGAGACACAAAAGGGAATCAAGAAATAAAGCAGGGTCCACTGAACTTTGAGTGTGTGGGTAACCACAGTTACATAGCCAACTTCTGGTGACTCTTTTCTCATGTAGAAATATCATAGGAAAATAATAAAATCAATCTTTTTTTAAAATTACCTTTTTTTTCTCCAGCAGCCTCCTTAGGGTCACTAGGCTTTTTCCCATTTTTTCCATTAGGAAAGTACTTTTCAAATCCTGTTAGAAAAGATAAAAAAAATCTTCACTCTAAAATTCATCAGGTTTTGTGCATATTGTTTATAAAGCTGCAGACACACCATCAGAAACCATAACATTCCTTGGGTAGAAATACATCAAAGTCTAAAAAATACAGTTCACAATCTAAAGGTATCAATTTCATCACCTGTAAAATGATCACTTGTGGGTGACATATTTCCCCCACTACCATCAGACAGAAGCTGAAGTCAGGGTGTAGACACAGAAGACAACAACTAGTCATCCTGAAGCCAATCTATGTACCCACATAGGAAGCCCCAGGGCTTTTGCCTTTAACAAGAACACAGGGCACCAGAAGCAGATTGAAACACTTACCTTTGGGAGGTCGGGAACAGAATCTTTGATAAGCAGCAATTACATCCCTCAGAAGAGAGTTTCTCGTTGTTGTCTGAACTGTAGCATATTGATAAAGCTGCAACATGACATAGGATCAAGGTTCAGTTTCCAGCAATCACATGGTGACTCACAACAATCTGCAAGCCCATTTTAGGGGACCTAACTCTTTCCTGATCTTCTTATGCACCAAGTATGCATGACCACACATACATACAGGCAGGCAAAACACTCATACATCATACACATAAAACAAATAAATCTAAAGAAAGTTTTAATGCCTTCTGGAGGCTGAGGATGTAACAGAGGGTGTAGAGTTTCTCTAGTATGTCCAAAGTCCTGGGTTTGATGTCTAGCACCAAACAATAAACCAGGCATGGGCCACCACACCTGTAATTCCAATACTCAGGAAAGAGAGGCAGGAGAATAACATGTTCAAGGTTATCCTGGGCTATATACATCCTATATAGCAAAGAAATGTTCAAGTATCATTTATTTACCCCAGTATCAGGGAGTATATGTCACACACACCTACACCAATTAGCTGCAGCTGTCCGACACAAGGACTTCCTTATGTCTCAGCATTCACTGGTGACTCACAGGTACAACAGTCCCAATAAGGTCTTTAATATGAGATTCAACCTTCTCAGACAGATCCTGAGTCCAATGTTCACTGATTATAAAAGGATCAGATGAGCAAGGTAAGGTGGGAGAACAGACGAATACTGCACAGATGCCATATAACAAGGAAGTTCACAGTAGAAAAGATAAGGACACAGAAATAAACACAGGGATGACAAGGGAGCTTCAAAGCAAATATCACAAACACAAGTACCCTCAGCAATCCCTATCCACGGCTTCCGTTCTCATATCCCACTAGTGAAAAACACTCGGAAAAGAAATGTACATGAGTTGGGGTGGTGGTGCATAGTTGTAGCCCCTGCACTTGGGAAATGGGAGACAGAAGGATCAGGAGTTCAAGGCCAACCTCAGCAATGAAGAATGCTTGAGGCCAATTTGGGTTTAGTTGCTATTTTCTGGTGGTGGTGGAGAGGTATTTGGTTGGTTGGATGGATGGTGTTGGATTTTGGCCATTATTCCTTAAATGCTAGAGTATAAAAATTATTTACAAACCATACTTACTAGATATTAATCTAGAGATGAACGTGTAAGGGAAGAGCCAGCCTGACTGGGAGGAGCAGGTGGGAGATTAAGGAGGCTAGCCTGGGCTACACTAAGACCTAGTCTCAACTATCCCCAACAAAACATAAACCAAAGCACACAGAAGTGCATGCATCTTCTGATTTTAGTACGGGTCCTAGCATCAACGCCCTGTGGATACTGAAAGCCTGCTCTAGCTTGTAAGTGAAGGGGCTGAACATCCACGAGGGCAATGGCAGCT